AACGTCAACGCGTTCTACTGCGTACCAAGGAAATCTGGAGGTTTTTGATGTATTCAAGACGAGTGTCTCTCCCGATGAGAGGCTGTCCGAATCCGTATCGTTTCTACTCTTGATGAGCTTCTTTTCGTTCCGCTTCAAGTCCTCCCCGTGAAGACATATTTCCCCTTCCCGGAAAACTGTCTGGGAACCGTGTGCGGGCGGAAAGAAATTTGGCGAGAAAAAGTGCAACTTTCCCAAGGTCATATGGACCCTGTTCATCCCGAGGATCTACTGTAATTTATGACAGGGACGGGTTGTTGGTACTATCATTCGGATGCACACCCACCCAGTACCTGCATCCAATGTGTTAAAGAATAAAAAATTTCTAAAACCATCTTAATCCCATCCATGCCACAAATTACGGTCGTTGCTGGCCTTAACACTTCTTATTAACTTAGAATTAATTGTATTCTATTAGCTTATAATACAATCAATATTTTAATGTCTTCCAGTATCAAAAAATTATTTACTATTTATTAATTTACGAAAGCCTATGAAATAAAAAATACTTTTTATGAATCAGTTAAAGAAATTAATAAATACACTTTTCTTACACGCACACAAAATACTATATACAAATTTATATACGAATCAATAAACTTATTTCAAATTAATCGCAATAATTTTTTAATGTTAAACGAGGTACAATGTTCATTGACTGAAGTTCTTGGAACAGTAGTTTGCAGGCATATGGCATAGAAATCGTAGAAACACATGAACTAGAACGACAACTGTGACACCAACCACTATATGCCATCAAACCACATTTGTTACATACATCGACATCGAATGCATCACTCGATATCATAAGCCTCTCTATCAACATCATACTAGCACCATATCCAATTAGACAGTCTCGTTCCATTTCACCTAATCTTAAACCACCTTCTTTAGCCCGACCTTCTGTTGGTTGACGCGTTAACACAGCCCTCGGTCCTCGAGCACGAGCATGCATTTTATCTTGCACCATATGTTTCAATTTTTGATAATATACCTGTGTTGCAAATTATATTTTTACAATGTATATGATTAACGTTTAAGATCAAAAGTTAAAACGTTATCAACTTACCGGTCCAGAATAAATATATGCTTGTAATGGCTCTCCTGTAATGCCGGAATAGAAGAAGTCTTTGCCCAAGTAATTATAACCGTGCTTCACCAGTTCTTGACAAACATCTTCAACTTTTGAACCACCAAATGCTAAAAATAAGAATTGTTAGAAATAAATTATCCTTTTAAAAAAATGATCAAAACAAAATATAATTGCTGCACCTGTGCCATAATGATATTCTCCTTTTATAACACCAGCTTTACCAGCAAGCAATTCCATTAATTTACCAACAGTCATACGTGAAGGAAAACCATGTGGATTCATAATCATATCAGGACATATTCCATGATCATTAAATGGCATATCTTCTTGATCCACGATCAATCCTGTAAAAGTCAGCAGTTTGTACTAATGTATCTACAAAATTGAATATATATAATTGAATAATATATATAAATACATACCAGTTATACCCTTCTGTCCATGCCGACTACTAAACTTATCACCTATTTCAGGTCTCCGAGTTTGTCGTAACAACAATTTAATTAAAAACGCGTCTTCTGAGTTGCTGGAAATCATAACCTTCTCAACATAAGCAGGAACAGGTCCTTTGAAAACTACTGGAACATCTTTGTATTCCGTTTGCTTCTGAACATTACCGGCATTCACTGGACCTATATTTGCGGCCGGTGATGATTTATTTACCATTACCTACAAAAAAAAGGGAAAAACTTGTTGATTATATAATTATACATGTAATTCAGCCATTGTTAATGTTTAAAAACGAACCTTTCTATTCTCCAACAGTTCTCCGGGTGCAGCAATTCCATCACTGTCGATTACGTCATGTTTCCAAACAGGTTTTTTGGTAGTAGAATCAATTAATGGGCCCATTATCCGATCATACGTCTGATTTGCGTATCTCTTTAACGTACATTTTGCATTTCTATATACTAAACACCTTCCAAATCCTCTGTCAATTGAAGCTTTATTTAAGATAAGAGCATCCTCAATATCGTAACCACTATAAGACATGACGGCTACTATTGCATTTTGACCAGCAGGTAGTTTATCAAAGTTTATCAGTTCTATCGTTCGGGATTTAACCATAGGCGTCTGAGGGTAAACCAAATTGTACATTAATGTATCGATACGATTACGCTGATTGTAACCAATAGTTCCCATTGCTTGCTTCCCCATAGCACATTGGTAGGTATTTCTTGGGCTCTGGTTATGATGTGGATACGGTACTAGACCAGCACAAACTCCAAGTAATGTAAACGGCTCAATTTCTAAATGCGTCGTTTTTCCATTAATATGAGATTCATTGAATGCAATGGAACTGTCATTTTCTTCATTCACATCCAAATACTCGATCAAACCTAATACAATATCGTGGTGTTATTAAAACCACAATAGAATTTTACTTACATTTTTTACTAACCATCTTGTAAAAAGTCTTCAAGGCTTTGTACTCCTTGTTCAAGTAGTTTTATGTGTTTTTCTTGTAGACATGAATTACCATTCTCTACAATAATGTATGGTCTACACAATCGTCCTCCGTCAGAACTAATTTGAACGCATCTATGACATTATAACAATTACATAAAATTGTTATAATATAAAATATCATATATTATGTTATGTATAAATGTAATTTCTAGATCAATATTACCTATGTTGATGTTGTGTATATATAGAGACAAAGCCATTTATCAGACCTCTTCTTCGCAATGACCTAAAGATTTTTACTAGTCTCTGATAATTTCTGATTATACCCAGGATATTACCATTTATGAACACCATATAAACATTTTTATTATTTATTTCTTCTCCACCAAGTATATTAACGTTTTCAACTCCCAAGTTGAAAGCCAATCTAACGATTGGTTCTTCATCAATTTCTGTGGTAATATGAGTCATGAGAGCTAAATTTTTAACTAAACCACAACCCTATAAAAAGACTTGCATAAATAATTTCAAATGCCATGAATAATAATTGAGGCATATACGAGGAAACAATACTAACTTCTCCTTCAGGAGTATCGCTAGGACACAACATTCCCCATTGCGATGGTTGCAAAGATCGAGGTCCAGATACTTTCCTAGTTTTTTCAAATTGTGAGTTAACTCGTGTCATCATACCGAGTGCCGAAATATAAGAAAGTCTGGATAAAACTTGAGTAACCCCGTGCCTTTCCATTTTAAATCGTTTAATCGTCCAATTGCCCTGTTTAATATAATATAATTTTTATTTAATCTTATATGTCTTTTACATATATATATTTATTTATTTATTTACTCACAGATGATATGGCAAAAGCCAATCCATTAGTAATCTGATCCTGTCTCATATGTTTTACAATATCAAATTGTGCAGCTTTAATTTTTGGTATGTTTTTATCAGCTATTTGCTTTAACTGAAAATATTAAATATTACAACAAACAAAATAATATCAAAAATGATAATTTTAGTGATTCTTATTTAATATTATCGCACATCATACCTCCCAATTAAATCTTTTAAATAAATCTTCAAACATTAAAGACAACAAAGAACCAGCCAATTCCAATCGTTTATTACCGTAGTAATCTCTATCATCTACAAGTTTCTCATCAGATTCTGCTTTCATAACTTTACGAACCATTAAAGCAGCATAAGTTGCTTTCATTTTAAAATTAAAGTCTACGACCTGTAATATTAGATATGAAGCAATACCGATTATAGTATTTTATTACAATTATAATTTCCGAGTTACTTACAGGAACATGAGACAAAATATTGGTTGCCAATATATCCTTCATTTCATCCGTAATGCTAGATTTTATGAATGAATATCTTTTCTGTTTTCTTTTACTGCTAAGAAATCTAAAATAGTACTTGAAATCAATATTCATAATGTACATGTTAATACACCTAATACTATTCTAACGTACCTTAATGCTTGATTTTGAGCAAATATATTCAAAGTATGGCATTCTTCTAAACTGGGCGCAAACTTTTTCATAAATTCTTCTTCTGTGCCAATAAGTTGCATAATTTCTTGATCACTAACAATTCCCATTGCTTTAAATATTATTGTCACTGGTATATCCTACATACATATAATATATTTATATCTCATTAAATATCGTTCATGTTTTAATGTACAGTTGCAATGTACTTACATCAACAAAAATGTTGTGTCTCATGTAATACTTCCCACCTTTTCCTACAATGTTAGTTTTGGTTTTCCTTTCATGAGTAGAGCTATTACAAGATGCTATAATACATCCTTTAATATCATCCTCTAGAATAATTCTATTTCTAAGCATTTGTTCTTGTATCAGAATTACTTTTTCTTGGCCGTTCACTATAAAATAACCGCCAGGATCATGAGGACATTCATTCATTTTTGCCAATTCAAAATGCGACTTGCCGGTTAATACACAGTTTGAACTTCTTAACATAATAGGCATTCTGGAAAAAAAGACAGCAATCAATTGAGTTCATATTACAAATGTGAAATTGTTGATATTTGAAAAGTATTTTATTAAAAGTTTTATACCTGCCAATCAATAAATTATTTTTGATTATTGGTTGGTGACCTCTTATATATTCAATATCAACTGTAATTGGAGCAGAGTAATTTAAATCTCTCAAACGACATTCATGTGGAGTAATAGAACGTGTTACATTAAAACCTTCCTCAACATCTGGTATGCCAACGTGAATGTTCAAATATCTACCAAAAAAAAAATGTGACATAATAAATGATGCAATAAATCAATAATAAATTAATGTGCGATATATCATCGCTTACTTTATATAAAATAAAGGATCAGCGTCACTGAGCACTTTCTCATTTGCCTTTACAATTTTTTTAATTTCTACGTTTATAAAATAATTAAATGAGTCAATATGTTGCTTAACTAAACCTCTTCCCTTGAGAAAGGCAGGTACAAGTTTCCATTTGTCCTGCGAAAATGTGATTTTGCAAATAATTACTTATAGTAAATTTCGTTGAATAAATCATAGATTGTCATTTTATACATACCTGGATGTGTTTTACCACTTTATTATATTTTGTTTCCGATTTAATATTAACTTGCATTTCCCCCATCTTTCTACTTATGGAAATTATAATATAACAGTTGAAATAGATTGTTCAAAATATAATAAAACTACTACCCTTTTCTAACCTATACTTCATCGAAACATTTTCGTCGTAACGTTAATAATATGATAATAAATACAATATCTATACGATACTAAATCTGTAAAAATCATTAATTGTAAATAAAATAATTGTATAAATAAAAAAAAGGGCTATATTATAACGTGAAAAGAATATGACTGACATTTAGGTATACACAACCATGCACCAACGCTTAATATAACTGTACACACAATGCATGGTACATACCACGTGTATATATTGTATATTGTCCTGTTTGGTAAATACATATAGTTTATATAAATGTTCTGTTGATAGATTATTAAAAAATTTATATAAATATTTCGTTGATATTAAATTTATAATATGAAATATTTAAATAGAAATTTGCCAAATACTTAGTTCTATTTATTCAAAATACAACAAGTATGGTCATCTCTATACACTAACACTAACACATTTTTCTGATTAAAAGTAAGATAATTATCCTAGATATATCGCTGCAGCTGCGTTTTGTATCGTATGTGTAATTTTGAAATATATAAAACAATTCTAGGAACATGGAATTTTATACTAATAAATTTACGAGATTTTTCTCGTGGAAACTCTTAAAACCAAACAATAAGTTTAATGTACGATATTCTTCGAAATATTATAAAATAGACGACAATATTTTCGGATTAAACGAACAACAGAAAGAGGTTAGTAAAATTTGAATTTAATTGTATATAGTTATACGTACTAACATGTTCGAAACGAATAATTTCTTTGACAATCGAGATATGATTGAGACTCAATTATTTTTTATTAATATAATTTATCGAGCTTGATCAATATAGATATTAGCAAAGAAAAAACTCTTTTTTTTTACAGCTTCGACAATTAATATTTAATTTTGCGCAAAAAGAGCTTGCTCCAAAAGCGGCCGAAATCGACAAAAAGAATAATTTTGACGAACTCCGAGTAAGTAAAAAAATTGTGTTTTTAAAGAAAGCACGAAATATATCTTAATATTTAAATTTTATTAATTATTTAGAATTTAAACTGTACTAGCATTTAAAAATTAATTTTCAGAAATTTTGGAGAGAACTCGGCAAGCTAGGTTTGTTAGGAATAACCGCGAAATCCGAATACGGTGGCACAGGTGGCACGTACTTAGATAACGTTATCGTCATAGAGGAATTAAGCAGGGCGTCAGGAGCTATAGGCCTCAGCTACGGCGCCCATTCAAATTTGTGCGTTAATCAAATTCACAGAAATGGAACTGAAGAACAAAAGCACAAATATCTACCAAAGGTAATGGTATATATAATTATACTCGCTAGACATTTATTTATTTATTTTATATTTATTTATTATTAGATATTTTATATTTATTTTATATTTATTTATTATTAGATATTTTATATTTATTTATTATTAGATATTTTATATTTATTTATTATTAAACATTTTTACTTTATATTTATTTATTATTAGACATTTTATTTTATATTTATTTATTATTTATTATTTTATATTTATTTATTATTTATTTTATATTTATTTATTATTTATTATTTTATTTATTATTAGAAATTTTTACTTTATATTTATTTATTACATTTATATTTATATTTCAGATTATTATATATTACACTACTTATTATATATATTACACTACTGGACGTACATTTATATTTTATATTTGTTATACATCATTTACAGTTGTGTAGTGGAGAACATATCGGGGCGCTTGCAATGTCAGAGTCGACATCTGGATCTGACGTGCTTTCTATGAGACTGCGAGCCGAAAGGAAAGGCGACTATTATATTTTAAACGGTCACAAATTTTGGATCACGAATGGCCCCGATGCTGATACTCTCGTCGTTTATGCGAAAACGGATCGAAACGCGGCTAAACCGCAACACGGTATCACGGCGTTTATCGTAGAACGAGATTTCGAAGGTTTCAGTGTCGCACAGAAATTGGATAAACTAGGCATGCGAGGTTCCAACACTGGTGAACTTGTATTTCAAGATTGCAAAGTTCCTGGTAATTTCTCCCTTGCAACTATGTACAACAATTCTGATTATTTCTATTCATTTCTATTGAACTAACACAATTACAGTGGCAAACATACTTGGACAAGTGAACAAAGGCGTTTACGTGCTATTTAGTGGTCTAGATTTAGAACGACTGACACTGTCAGCGGGTCCTTTGGGGTAAGTTTGTCTACTTTTGAAATGGAAACAATATGTTCTAGCTCTACCATATTTTAATATATCGCGTGTTAGACTTATTCAGGCTTGTTGCGACGTGGCATTTGATTACGCACACACTAGGACACAATTTGGAAAACGAATAGCAGAGTTTCAGATGACACAAGTATGAAATTGTTTTCCTTTTCTTTTTCAATTCCTGTACTTAAGTTTTTTTTTTCTGATCTTTTGAAGTGCTTAAAGGTGTAAACTGATATTTCAGGAGAAAATAGCAAATATGTATACAAGTCTAAACGTTTGCAGAAGTTACTTGTATTCAGTAACTAGGTCTTGCGACGCAGGATATGTAAGTCGAAAAGATTGTGCTGCGGTGATACTTTACGTAGCCGAGTGCGCTACCAAAGCTGCGTTGGATGCAATTCAGATACTTGGTAACATAACCTATATAATTTTAATTCTCGATAAGAATTTGTCAGTTCTAAATGAGTCTTCAAATGCATGCAATTTTTTTTTAGGTGGGAATGGTTATATAAATGATTATCCTACTGGAAGGTTTTTAAGAGACGCTAAATTGTACGAAATTGGCGCTGGTACCAGTGAAATTCGGCGAATGGTGATTAGTAGAGCCATTAGCGAAGAATACTCATAAATAAAGATGTTACATTCCTTTGAATATCTCTGTTTGAAAAAATTGTATATAAGACAATGTATACGTATGTACATTAAATTTGTATATCTTATAGTCCAATGAATTTTCATTTAATTATTTAATTGCTTTGTCGTTTATGTAGATCAACAGTGGAGTTATTTTTAAAATTTTCTTTCTATATAGTACGTACTCGACTTGTTTATTAGCAAGTGACGGACAAGCTAATATACTTAGCATGATGTTGATGTACTCATGCGATGTCACTTCGATTCTTCTGCTTTCATCGGTTCGTGTAAATCGAGATAAATGAGTCACTAGAACGACACATTCTTAAAACCACGATTGACTAACCTTTCGCGCTATAGGTTGCTAATTTAAGTCAAACTTACGTAGAATCTCTTCCTCTCGGTTTATTTTGTGTACTCTCTTTTACTATTTCTCTTACACTCCTAATGTAGTCTCATTAATCACAGTGCAGTCAAAGTAATTAGATCGAAAGCTACTATTGGGAAGAGCAGCTGCTTCCGAGTGGCATTCCGCGGACGTCGTTCAGCGAAAGAGAGAGAAAAGCTGCGGTTTGAAAGTTCCGAAAAATTGACGATCGAAGATGTCCCTTAAATTTTCGATAAGCAACTTTTACGAAACCTATGTGAGTATGCGATGGCCCGATCCTAAATTTTTCTTCGTTTCATTCCCCTCTGTAATTCACGGTGAATGAAACCTGGATGGACTACCCTACATTTTCTTTCTCTTCTTTTGTTTCAATTCAATACATTTGTCTCAAGATGATATCGTATCATAACCTATGAGCACATGTTTCCTTCATAACTTTGAAAAGAAGGGCCCATTGTAATTTATCAATGTGTTAATAAACGACTTACGTTGTATATTTAATTCTGTATATTCAACATCCGACAACAGTTTCTTGACTCCTGGATAACAATTTATTCGTCGTTTAAAGGAAGAACTTTAAAAAGACAAGACTATTCTGTAAAAGAACTGCTTGGAATTGGTGATATTTAGTTTCGTGGACTGACGTTAATCTTATCTATGTAGGAAAGGTAGGGAGACCGCAAATGCCAGAGAAATGAGTGCAGGTCGAACCAGAACAATACACACGGTATGCCAATTCGAAATGGGGCCAGAATAGCAGAAGCGGCGGGCCGGTTAGTTGGGTAACTAAGCTCGCACAAAAGTAAAGCTTGTCAAAATCAAGAGTGGCGGTGCAGCCAGTAGTCCTCGTTTGCCAGTAAGGAGCGTACGGGATCCGATATTGCGCCCCGGGTCGCAAGCCATAGATTCGTGTATCGTTTCTAACTTTTCTCAAGCACACATCTCGCACAGTTCTGTCACAGTTTTCTCTCTCGTTCCTCGGAGCAACTCTTCATCTCTTTTTTCTTCTTTTTTTTTTCTCCTTTTTCGTGCCCTTGTCTTGCTCTCAATTCTCGACTAAACGATCGGTACACCTGCGACCTGTGTCCGTTATAAATACGCGACTGCGTTGTTCCGATAGACGGAAACATGACGAGGAAACAAACGGTGATCGTGAAGCTTAAGAGATCCAGCACCGGCAAACCTTGGGGAATACGTATCGCTGGAGGCGCTGATTTGGGTACACCGATCGTCGTCACTCGCGTGAGTTCTTCTTTCATCTCACTCACAAGTGCTGAGCAATTAGGCATCTAGCTAATTCCTTGTTACTGGATGCACACAGCTCGTCATTCTGATCTATATATCTGTCTAGTGTAACAGAAAACTAGGTGAATTATTTTCTAATACGCGCAAGCTTCTACTGCTTCTACGTATAGCAATGTCCACTTTAAAAAGATACATGTCCATTTAGTAAAGTACACGAACATTCATCGCAAATGGATTTCCGCTTTATTCGCGAAACAACTGACCCTACCGTCTGGTACTGTCACGCTTTTAAACGCATATACGCATAAGAGTTTGTTGATTTAGTATACGTACATGTCTAGCCAACACAGTGTAATCTAATCTCGTCCGTCGTCCCATCGAGCATTTCAATTATATTCCATTTAACATGATTGTTAAATATAGCAGAGAGATATCGTAAACGTATTATCCAGGTGCTTATCGTCTAATTACACTTAATTGCATATTATACATCAATGTTGTATTTAATTGATATATTTTTTATTGGTATATTTTATTGGTATGTTGTAATTATACAATGTATACACTTGTCACATACTTACCAATTAACTCTTTGAGGCACATGATTTTCAAGGAGATAAAAACCCAAGTTGCACAGACCTTTTTCTAATATAAAAGAATGGAAAAAAATATTAAAATATTAAACTGTATATGACTGAGTAACTTTAACATTTCGAGGTGGGTTAAATTATATCCCATCATGCATAAAAACCTAAGGAAAAGGTGGGACATTTTTTAACCCACCTAACCCCAAATCAGTCAGAATATAAAAGCTGATACAGTGTTTCCGTTCCTGAGATTCGTTTGCAACATTCATTTATTAACTTGTTAACTTGTCTTATTAACTTCAGCTTGTGCAGCTTTACGACATTTAATATCATGCCTGTCGAACGTCGAATTAACGTAATTTCAGATATTGAAAGACGACACACGTTGCACGTTGCGTTAACTAATAACTGTATCTAAATGCTTTGAACATTAGCGACGAGTGGCTATAGTTTACGATGGAATTATTTGTTACTTGCAGTCGGAGAACGAGACGCTCCAGAGGGGTGACGTGATCAAGAAAATCGACGATTACGACGCGCGAGATGTGAGGCATGTAGACGCCCAGAATCTTCTTCAAAACTCTGAATCAATAAGGCTCGTGGTCGAAAGGTCTGAGCCGTCGAACGCATCTCGTACCAACATTACCACGTCATCTCCGATTATCCAGTTGAACACTGGCGGCAGGGCTGCGGTCACTAGTCTGTCAGAAAGCAATTCCACCTTTGTTATTATGCGCTCGATTTATCGCATCACTATCGGCACGCTACTATCGCTACGTAACTTGACTATTAACGCTTCGTATTAAACCTCTCCCTACTTCTCTCTCTCTCTTTCTTTTTTTTTCTTTTCTTTTCTTCTTTCGCACACTTCAATCGCAGCGCCTGATTGATAGCTCCATCGTGTCAAGAAACATCATCGTTAAACTCGACCATCACTTTCTTCGTTCCAGTGGGAACACCTTTTTGGAATCTCTTCGAATTCGATGTCGAAAATGTAGATCTCCACGCAGGCATCGATCCGTTTTTGAAGTTTCTAACGTTCAACCGTCGCTACTGCGCTGCCATACTAAAACGAAATTTACTATTAAGTTTCGATTATTATGAAATTTATTTGTTTAAGTTGGCGTATAACGCCGCGGTTGAAAGTGATGGTCGAAAATTATCATCGAGGCTCTCGTAAGAGGAATCTTATTTTTCACACTGATTCGTTAGTTAAGATACTTTCCCATCCCGCTATAGAGCCAAACAGCCGAAAGTACCGTCGCAATTGCCCAAGAGCCCCGTACCACCGCCGTCAGTCGACGAGTACAGTCAGCCCACATCTTCACCGGAATGCCCTAGCTTGCCGCACGAGCATCTCGACGAGGTTCGCGAAGAGAGAGCCTATTTGTCACAGGTACTTTGAATAGACACCCTTTGAAACACGCAACTCACACGCAAGAGCGAGCAAACTGCACCGCGTAAGACTCACATCTGTCTAATCACGATAGATGTTCACGCACGCACACGCCGGGTATTCGAACGACGATCAAGCGAAAGTAAGTACATACTTGCTCGCTTCTGTTTCACCGGTGATTAATTTTAGCCAGTGTATTTTAAACAAGTTACACGATTAAAAATCCACACATTGCCTGGCAGTGAAAACTGGGCGCAACACAGTTCAATCGCAGCATCGATCTTTTGTTTTTTTTAAAATGGTCGCTTTCTAAATTTTAGAACGGAAGCGCTGAAATTTCCAGGCAAGTTCATTGGCCCGTAAATACAACAAATTCGAACACGAATCGAAAGGCGAGTCGTGCGTGTCCACGATCGTTGAATGTATTTATAACAATTCTCTTTCACAAACGTCGTCTTTAATCGTCTCTTCTCTGTGCCAGTTGAAGATAGATTCTCAATTCGACAAAGTAACCCTACCAATAGCAGACAGTTGCTGGGAAGAGATAACCTTTTTTGCGTGTTCCACGAATAAAATATCGTTCTCTCTGGTATAATAAATTTCACATTAATAAATTTACATCGCGTGGATGCTCGTTGTACAAATTGTCGGGGTGTAGACTGCACTTGGCAAATTACATACCGTTTTGAACTAATTCAAGCACGTTGAAATTTAGTAACTCGTAATTGAATCACTGGGAGGAGATGACAGACTGACAGAACATCTATCAAACATAATTCGCTGTTTCCGCGTTCCGTTTCAAAATTGGCAAACTGCAAGACGCCAATTCATCAAGGGGTATGGATTATTTACTATCGATAAACGATATCGATGAAAATCGGCAAGAGTATTTTCGTCACCCCCACGTGTCGATTTCTTGGCTAAACAGTCACGCATGTACATACATATTTGCACTCTTAGGTTAGTGTGCTCGTCATTTCCATGAGAACGTAATTACTGTCGACGTTCGTTAGATGGAATCATGATCGGGGACGATTCGAAAAATCAACAGCATAGGCATGCATGCATGTATGTATGTATGTAGTTTCGTGGCAAATACAAAGACGCCTTTTACTCGTGAGACGTTCGAAGCGTGAATATATTTTTGTTGGCCCGCCACGATGCCGGAAAGTCCACGTAGAGGCAGTTGCCACACGCTATAAATATCGCTTTTGCATCGAAACTACTTCTCCGATCCAATACTACGCGATCCAGGACGATTCGGAACACTATTTCGATTCGCTTGAAAATGCGTCTTATTCTTATTGTCCTGCCGCTGATTACAACGATTGCGACCGAATGATCCAGGGGAACGCCAATCGTTATAGCTTCTCATCACGTCATTTCGTGCATTAAAATATTACAAATACTTAAAAAAAAAAAAAAAGAAAACTTGAAATTTGTATCGTACCTGTGTTAGGTAATTTCTGAGGTAATTCATTTTCATGTTTCGGATCGGCGGTATTAGTCCAAGGTCGTCTAATTAGAGTCGTAACAATTATCCAAATTGTCTAAAACTATGAAAAAAAGAAAAAAGAGAAAAACGAATGGGATAATGACTGGCTTCAAGAATAGTTCACTTTCTGAGCCATTAAGAATATTCACTAGCTTTTTCAGGATTTGGTACGAATCCAAATGTGACACAATCGATCAAAAATACGTACAAACAGCAGTGGAAATAGAAATTAATCGTGGAATCGTGAATTATAATCGTTCGATTGAAGGAATCGTATTTCTCAATATATATATATATTTTTTTTTTAGTTTTTACATTCGAAAGAAAGTACCGAAAAACAGTTGTGCAACGACATAATAAGGAAGAAGATTCCCGATGAAAATAGTGAAAACATAGAACGATCGAGATACGTCGGTATTACGTGGAGAGGAGAAGAAAGAGCGCGAGTGGAGTCGCGTGGAAAAGACCAGAGTTAGAGTAGTGCCGCCCGCGCAACGAGACAGTGCGTTAGCGAATATTCGTAAGGGAGACAGACACCCGTTTCGTAAAGGAAAAAAGTGAAGTAAGAACTTCTCGGTGAAAACGAGAAAAAAAAGGGGGAAAAAAAAAGAAAAAGAGATCCTCGATCGAGAGTGTCACAGCACCTGTACGGGTACGACCGTTCGTTTTGATTAGGAAACGATGCCAGCTTACACGACCGTTTATCGTCACAACATCGAACACCAGCCGAAAGAGGAAGAGGCTGCCGTGTTTTGGGTACGAAACAGCCAATTAGAAATAAAGGGAACATGCTCGAGTATCGATAATTCACCGGCATTTAATTAATCGATACTCAACGATCACGTATGTCACCATTTCCATTAGCCTCAATTCTACGCCGAATTATTATTCCTTGTTACAATATGATTTCCCATCTTTTGAATTATCGATGCTCGTCGGATAAGGAAGAATTTCTAAGGTTCCTGTCATGACTAAACTAAATGAAATACTGTACGATCATTTAGGGTGAAATTAGTCAACGTTGAGAAAGAACGAGAACTGTATTGTTCTCCATGCAAACATTCTCCCTTCGTTTCGTTCGTTTCCGTCGGTTTTCGTTCTCCTGTACGAACACGTCGATTGAATTTGGATTGAAAATGGATATTTTAACAACAGTCGAGGAAGCTATGACAGATAGGTTTCCATCAGCTATCAAAGTCACGTTAGGAAAAAGTAATCAGGTAATCACGAAATGATTTAAATGTTGAATTACATTGTCGTGCGTCAACCTTGACACTCTCCGTTAAAAGTAGGGCTAGGTCTTGATACTATCCCAGTGACACTGAAAAAGAGACGAAGAAACAAACTTTTGGTGAAGCTTGTCGTGAAATGTCGTTTAAAAACGAGAAGAGGGACGATTCGATTCTACAGAGTGTCACGTTACACGGGTATGACTGATTAATAACACGATGCAATAAAACGCGTGCAAGCACGTTACGGATTCATTGGTATCTTAATCTATTTTCGTAAATGAGATCTGGGTTACTCAAACACAAGAGGGTCATGCAACGACACTCCTACAGTTTGTACCTCTTAAACGGTTGCTGCTTCGTTAAAAAATTATTTCTTAACTTCGTTTAAAATGGTTATTACAAATAAAGACAGAAAACGTATCAAAGAGACACGTATGAAAACGTAGAATTTCACACTTCGCCATTGTATACTTATTGTTAAAAATGTAGTTCGACTGTGTAAAACACCGAAATGTTATCTTTTACGAGGTACCTTGCCAATGAAATCTGGAAGGTTCTCTTATTGTCAGAGTTCAAGTTTCAATGGCGTCGCTACCGCGAGTCGAGCGATAAACAATTTTCGAAACAACCCAATTGGCCAAATTTAGTTCGGGGACATTTTGTAAAATGACGTAGAAACAGCCACTCCCCTCTCTGAAATTACATAGGTACGAATAATTAATAGTAATTTATATATGTATGGGATGAATCAAAAATCACTTCCTACTAAAATAAGTCCATAATTTTTATATTTATTTTTTTTTTATATCATTTTCTCTGGCAATGAACATTTGAAAGGAATAATTTTTAAAACATGATGAAAAAAATCATGTGTGAACTTGAATTAATAAAATTAGTTTTTTCTTATACTTTGATGTTTTATTTAAAAAAATATGTGGGAAGAAACTTGGCCCATCTTATATATATATATATATATATAAGTACACGTAAATTTGTCCATTGTGATTTTATTCTTCCACTGTATTTTTATGCTTTTACTTAAAAGTAAAATTAACCTGAATTAACCTGATTAAGAACCCAATCGAAAATTGACAAGCATCGATCGTGACGGCGAAAAGTTTCGCAGCAGACGGAGGTACACGTTATTTTTGCCGGCTAGGGTCCTTCGTCTATTTCGAGAGAGAAATAGCGTTGCCCGCCTTGTAAGATAATGTTTTTGACCCATTTATTATGAAATAGCTGTATAATCGTTATTCAATTCGATACGAGATTGCGAAATCCTCCCCCCCGATGGAAACACGCTGGTCGTGTTCAATCGTTTCGCTTCAATTTTTTCGCTTCGTTCGAAAGCGGTGAGTCGATAAGCGACTCTGGATTCGATCTTTCTATTCTTGCAAGCGCAAGTCTTATAAATACGACGCGTAACTTTATCCTGCTGTTCGCGCTCCACTTGACATTCTCATTTTCGTCATGTTTCAGCAATGACGACAGCGAGTGATCGAACATCACTCGCTTCTAGAGTGAGGTTAGGTTTCCATCTTCTCTTCTTCGTGTTCTCCCTCGCCGGAAAAAATTATTTGTAAAAACGCAACAACATACAATATACACATATATTGTATTTTTCACAATTCCGCGGAGAGTTCCGCGTAAAATAATAAATAACGTAATCGTGAGAAATATACTTGGCAAGCGCGTTGTTCGTTACAACGCTACGCTACATTTTATGCAATTGTCTCATTGTACATACAGACACGAGCCAAGTACCCCGAGAATTTTAGACGCTTTATACCTTTCACTTCGGACCATAGTATTGCCTCTCATGCAACGCGTGTTTACTTCCAGTTGCAATAGTTCACCAAAAATATCATCTTGTATAATGTTGTATAATGTTATCATCGTAAAAATACCACTTGAGAACCAAACTATCGGAAAGTGTATTCAATATTGTCGAAATTGATGGATAATTTATTTTTATGTCACACTCGCAACTCTGTTGTTGCAACATTGTCGAAAATTAACGAGGCATCGTCGATCGTGTCGCGTTGCCTTAATAAACGTTTATTTTAGCTCGGTCGATGTATAATTGACATGATTCACGCCTACTATTTCGCTTATTAAGAAATTTTTTTTTTCTTTCTTAATTTTATAATTAGTTGACTTTTATCGCTTATTTATTTATACAGCATTTCCACGAATAAATAACATTAGATTTTGATCATTACCACCTTCATTATTATTTAATAATAATTATTATTAAATAATATATATTTTTAAAAAATATATTTTAAAAATATATTTAATAATTATTATTATTAAATAATGTATTTTATCACTTTTATCATTTATTTTATTTTATCATTATTATTAATAATTTATTTATTTCATAATAAGGAACTGGATGAACAATTTATTCACCATTATATTTATATATATAATATTATTTATATATAATATATATATTATTTATATATATAATTTGTATATATAATATATCCACCATTATTATATTTATACCATTCATCTCAGTCTATTGATTTCATAATTTTTTCTATATAACTGAAAATGCACAAGTTGACACTATTCGGTACTCGTAACTGATAAACATAAATATACGATCTGATTACGCTGTTGATTGCGTCGATTTTTAGCCGTACCGCACAACCCCTCTGGTCTTGCCAGGTGCAAAGATAAAAAAGGACGCGCCGCTTGGAGAATGCTACTTACGCCATCATCCGAATCCGATGATCAGAGCGGCACCGCATCACTATGAACCGGCTCATCCTGAAGTCGCTATGAAACAGAAGGTGCGCTTTTTTATCCAATAATCTTGCTTCGATCACGAGGCGCGATATGCTTTTTTTTTTTTTT